CGGCATTCTCAGAGCGTGCTGGAACGGACTTCTCCTCGTCTCGGCCCCGTCGGAGGCACCCCCCTTCCCCCCCCCGGAGTCAAGCCGAGTTTGTCCCCCTACAGGGGGAATCTTGGACGAAACATACAAACAATAGTCAAATAATGCGCCCAAATGGCAAAAAAAAATTGAAAAAATAGTCCCTTGACTATTTTCTGGACTACGTTTGAATCTTCCCACCTGTAAAGGGACAGGCCCAACTTGACCCAAATAGTCAAACGATACTCAACAAATCGTCCCCATACAATTTCTTTGACGATGTTTGAGCCTTCCCCCCTGTAGAGGGACAGGCCCGACTTGACACTGGGGGACCCCCTCTGCCCGTCTGAAGAGGAGCAGGCCCGACTCAACCCTGGGCGACACCCTCTGGGAGACTACTTTTTGAATATCCCACCTGTAGAGGGGCAGGCCCGACTGAACCCTTGGTGACCCCCTCTGGGCGACTACTTTTGAGTCTTCCCCCCTGTAGAGGGGCAGGCCCGACTTCACCCTGGGCGACCCCCTCTGGGCGACTACCTTTGAGTCTCCCCCCCTGTAGAGGGACAAGCCCGACTTAACCCTGGGCGACCCCCTCTGGGCGACTACTTTTGAATCTTCCCCCCTCTAGAGGGGGGCAGGCCCGACTCCGGGCGCGGCCAAACCGACCCCTACCAAACCATACCCTTTTTTCAAAGAAGGCGGAAGTGCGCAAACACAGGGAGCGAATGATATCCTTCCTGAGAGCGTCGCTCTCGCAAGACCGGGTCGCGGTCCCAGGGGCGCGCGGGGAGACAACTAAATCGAGACGTTTTGGAAACCACCGCACCAGTCAAGCGCTTCGGGGACGAACGTGAACGAAAACGCCAGCGCGGGCAGAAATCGCGACGACGGGCCGGCAGAAAGAACGACGCAAGATAAGGAGCACGGCCCAAGGACAGTCATCGGGGAACGTCAACGGCGCATGAAATCCACGCGCTGCCTTCGAATGGCGTGACCAACAGTGGCCGGCCAGAGCGACACGTCTGCGCTGGCACGGGCGTTTATCATTCAAAATATCATGCCTCGGCCCTGCGCTGCGTAGCGCAACTCTTTCTTGATGCGAATCAGAGCTCCAAAGTGCGCACGTGATGTCGGTGAGCCGAAACGCGCGCTGAACCTGGGCGGCTAGGAAAAACGCAACCACCCCCAAAACGAACATATACCAACGAAGCAGTCGCATGTTTTGCGCGCGGTGAAGTACGACCGCCAGGGTTTGAACAGTCTTACAACATACCTGGCAAACATTGAACGATTTCTCAAAAAGTGATAGGCACACTCACGACACCAGAATTACACATAAATCGTTTCGCGACTTCGAGAATTTGACCAAGAAACACCACGCCTTTTGTATATGGACGAGCAAGTGAAACGTCACCCACCCTGACGTACGCATACGCCTGCAGGGATGGCGAATCGAGCCAATGATGGCCCAAAGAGACGGTCCTCCTGTGGAGGGGTTTTGACAACGCGTGCCCGCTACATATCAGTAGCCTCGAAAGTGCACAAACCGACATATCATAGGATCCACACTTGGCTCCATCACAGAGCGCCCATGTCTGCGTTGGCAAGTATGGCTCCGGTGCCGAGCCAGGCGCATGAGCACGCACGTGCTGCGCGACCAGGCTCACGCGCCCCATGAAAGACTGCGGACGTTTCAAGGCATTGGCCACGCATCCCCACAGACGCAACACAGTACGTTGCACATATTGAGGCAATGCGTTGCAAATACTGGGAACCAATCGTATGCCTGGGTGCAACATGCCAGCACATGCCGCACAAACCGCACGTGTAACCCCCATCCGTCCACCTCCGCCTGATATCCCGTTCACATATTTATATATATATATATATATCCTTCCCTCCCCTGCCGCCCCCGTTCGCCCCCCCCCTCCCCACCCTCTCTCAACTTCCCCCTCCTCCGCCCCCCTCCTCCTCGACCCCTGGCCCAGCTCGCCCTCGCGGCGGAGCGCATTGTGCAGCGCGTCGCCAGGCGAGGGAACGAAAGGGGGGAGGGGGGAGGGAGGGGGGAGGGGGGAGGGGAGAGAAGGGGGGGAAGGGAGACAGGGCGAAAGACGCACACAGGGAGGGGGGCGCGGGAGAGGAACCAGAGGAGGCAGGAGAGATACGGGGGGAGCGGGGGAGGGAAGGAATGTCGGAGGCAGGGAAGGAGAGGAAGAAACGAGGGCAAGGGCGACGCGGGCGAGGGAAGCTAATGCGCGGGGGGAGGGATGGGAGGGAAGGGGCACTAGGGAGGGAGGGGGCGAGGAAAAGCGAGGAAAGCGGGGGGAGGAAAAGAGGGCAAGGAGGAGAGACAGAGAAGGTGGGGATGTTGTGAGGACAGCGGAGAAGTGGACAGAATGGAAAAAGGGAGATGGCGAGAGGCCAAAGTGAAGAGCAAGGGAAGAGTGGCGTGGGGACGGCGAGGGAGGGAGAGACACGAAGGAGCAAGGAAGGAGGAGAGGATGGCGGCGGAGTAACGGGGAGAAGATCGGGAAAAACCAGCCGGCCTGGACTCCCGCGGCACCTGCGACAAAACCTTGCCCTCCGCCCCCCAGCGAGGCCCAAACTGCACTCGCGCGGCTTGCGGGGGCCGCGCGACTGTCTTTTGGGGCTCGCCCGGGGCGGATCCCCGAATGAAAATTTCGAAAGTGTGGACCCGGAACTCGTCACGGTAGGGTATCATTTGGGCGCGCCCCAAACCGGAGGCTTCCGTGACGACCCCCCCCGGGACCCCCGCCCGTCTGTCTTGTTTCCCGACTTGTGCCTAAACCGGAGGCTTCCGTGACGAGCTCGGGGGGGCCCCGAGCGCAACCTAAACCGGAGGCTTCCGTGACGAGGGGGCGCCCAAACCGGAGGCTACCGTGACGACCCCCCCCCCGGAGGTTTCCTGGTCGGGGGCCCTCGGGGGGGCCCTCTCGGGGCTCTCCAGGCCTTCCAATGCATCTCGGAGGGCCTCAAGAGGGCTCCAAGAGAGCCTCAGGAGGGCCTCGAAATTTCAAATATATTGACAAACTTTGAAGCTCTCTTGGAGCCGTCTTGAGCCCGCTTGAAGCCCTCCGGATCGCACTGGAAGGCCCTGGAGGGCCCGGGGAATGCTCCAAGAGGGCCCCATAGAGGGCCTCAAGACGGCCCTCAGCGAGCCCCACGAGGGCCCCAAGGGGGCCCAAGAGATACCCAAGAGGGCCTCTTGTGCACGACCACTTGCGTATATGAACACTGCTGTCCATGACCACTCTCGTATTCAACTGCTATTGTATATCACCCCTCCCTCCTGGCTCATCCCTTCACCCTCATCGCTCCTCCTGATGATCAGGGCAAGTCGCCTGGTGATTTTTGGGACGGGCTGGTGGGGATACGCGGAGCGCCAACAATTTCTGGAAGCCTGCCTGAGGGCTCAAGGGAGCCCCAAGTGGGCCCCGCGAGGCCCACAAGAGGACCTCGGGAGAGGCCCGCCTGGACCCCAAGAAAATCCAATGTTAGGACGCGCGCTGCATCCTGATTCAGGAATGTCTCGGGGTCCACTTGATGCCCCGTGGGGGCGTTCTCCGGGACTTCCTGAAACCCGCCCGAAGCCGGAGGGGGCCCGTGTCGCCGAGAACTCGCTAATACGGCTTTAATAAAATCTAGTTACCCCCCAAGAGGGCCCGAATCCAACATTCAAAATGCTTTTTGGCTCTGGGCCATCTGGGGATCCATCCGGGGTCCTCCTGGAGCCCCCCTGGGGGTCTCCCCGAGGCCCACCCGCAGCCCCCTCGAACCCATTGAGGGCCTCGAAGAACGCCCCAGAGGGCACCCATCAGAAGGGGTCCAAATACATGTATGTTTGGAGGGCCCGCATCAGGATGCATGGTGCAACGTGAGTTTGGGCCGTTGCGTGGGCCACGCCGGCGCCCTCTTGGAGCCGTCTTGAGCCGCGCTGGGGCTGTCCTGACGCCCCGAGGATGCCCCGAGAGAACCCCGAGAGAGTCCCAAGGAGGCTTCTGCAAGCGACATTTGCATGCACACTTTTACGTCGTATTGTTTCCGCGTGTTCCCTTGAAGCAAGAGGGTAAGGTTTTCCTCGATGTGGCATGCATTGCCGTTTGCCCCACGGCGCGGCGTCGTGCTCAACAACAACGTCCCCCGCCATGCCATTGCGGTTGCATGATGCACCGTGCACCTTGACCTGGGGCCCACTGGGGGTCGGCTTGGAGCCCTCTCGGAGCTCTTTTGGGGGCCTCAGAAGACCTTTTTTCGGAGCCTCGTTGCGGCTTCGGGGGGGGGGGGGGGCCTCGCCCAGCTCGCTCATGGGAAACCGCGAGCTCCGGAGTCCGACCGCCAGCATCAATCGTCTGGCAACCCCCGCATATCCTAACATTCTCGGTAACCTAGGAAAGCGGGGCCCTGGGCGTCAGCAGAAATCGACGGCGAGTTGTTGTCAAATCCCTGCAATTTCCGCGAGGGGCCACTGTCGAGCATTGATTCTGAGACAAACACAAGACGCACGCGAGTGGTTAAGATGATCGAGTCAACAGTAGCACCGAAAAGTGTCAACGGGCAATCATATGTTTCCTCTAGTTGCGAAGCCGCTCGCGCCCCAAGATGCAGATGCGATGGTGCCGCATCTGAAAACATTGTAGACGCCCGCGCAAGAATGGCAGCGATGCTCCCATTGCTCCTTCGCCAATTCCGCCAAACAAGCACGCATTCCGACTCGATCGAGGAAGCTGCGCGGCACACTTGCTGCACTTCATGACTTCTGTTTGCGAATTCCTTTGGGGCGGCGCCGGTCGTGCCCCGAGAGCGCTTCGCGCGTGGGCAATTCATTTTGCTCGAGTCTGCAGCCAACGCACGCGCGGACCGCATTGACCTCGAAAACACAAAACTCGTTACGCAAGGGCATGGTTTGCTAGGGGTCGGTTTGGCCGCCCCTGACTGAACCCTGGGCGACCCCCTCTGCCCGCCTGGGGCGCCGCCGCTGGGCGGCCCTCGCCGGGCGGCCTCCGCCGCCACGGCGGGGCGGGCGCCCGCGGCCTCCCCGGGGGGGCGCTCTTCGCGGGCGCGCGCGGCGGCCAGAGGCGAGGCGGTCTCGGGGCGCGGGGGGCCAGAATTTGGACGCCCGAGATCTCGCCATCGCTCGGACGTCCATTCCGTGTGCTTTTCGATTTCGTGCGTGGTTTTTTCGCCAAATGATCAAGGATGCTCCTCGATGGTCCTCGCCGCGGAAAAAACGCACACGTCCGAGCGATGCCGAGGAAATGGGTACGGAAAGAATGGGTACAACGCCCAACAACAAACGGTGTCCTAAACCGACAGCGGCCGCTGTTGGGCGGGCGGCCCTCTGTCTCGAGTGGACACAGGCCGCGGCGGGGTGGACAGCGAGTCCTGTTCCAAATGGACAAGAACTGCTGTTGGGCATTGCACCCATTCTTTCCGTACCCATTTCGTTCGTGCCGATCTCGGGGCGCGGGGGGCCAGCAGCGCCCTCGGGGATCTAAAAGGAACCGACACCGCTGCCCATGCCTCGTTTTCCCCTTTTGTGGGCCTCCAGGGCGGCCCTCGTCGCCACCGCTGGAGTCGCATCGAAATCCTGGTCAGAACGCACCCCAGGAGAGGTCCTGGGGTGCGTTCTGACCTGGAGGCGGGGGGCCATCGGGGATCTAAAACAGGGAAACAAACTCTATATACACCGACGCTTTTCCCGACCCTGCGCGGAAAATTCGCCCAAGAACGCGGGTCCTGGTGTATACGGGATCCTGGTGTATATATGTTGCATTGTTCCCCTTGGAAAACGGGGGACAAGTATACACCACACCACCCCGACGTCGTCCACGACCCTCCAAAAATCGTGGGATCGAAAAAGCAACCCGCCACTGGTAATGTACATGTTCCAACTTCCGATCAAAGGTACCGGTACCGCTACTCCCTGGACCTCTCCTGGGGTGCGTTCTGACCAGAACTTCGATACGAATCCAGCGGCGGCGACGAGGGCCGCCCAGAAGGCCCAAAAAGGGGGAAACGAGGCAAGGGTAGATGTATGGGTACCTTTTCCTCCTCCGAGTGCCATCGGGGATCGAGGGGGGCGAGAGGGTAGGACAGCAAAGGGCAGAGTAGAGGATCAGCTCACGTAGCTGTCCTTCCTGGCGCTGGAAGGCGCCCATGTTTCGAGGAATGGGCCCCGCGCTGGGGATATTTCGCTGGCAGCTTTACGCTAGGGTGGTGAGGATTTGCCGCTGGCAGTTTTAAGCGAGGGGTGTGGGGGGGATAATTAGCTGGCAGTCGTAAGCCAGGGCTGTGGGGATACTTCGCTGACAGTTTTTTGGCCAGGGGCGTGGGGATATTTCGCTGGCAGTTTTAAGCGAGGGTGGTGAGGATTCTTCGCTGGCAATTTCAAGCCAGGGGGTTTAGGATACTTCGCTGGCAGGGGTGCGAGGATACTTCGCTGGCAGTTTTAAGTCAGGGCGGTGAGCATAGTTCGCTGGCAGTTAGGCCAGGGGCGTGAGGATATTTCGGTGGCAGTTTTGAGCGAGGGCGGAGAGGACAGTTCCCTGGCAGTTTAAGTCAGGGGATGGAGGATCTCTCGCTAGCAGGTTTCAGCAAGGGGTGTTGAGATACTTCGCCGGCAGTTTTACGTCGGGCCAGTGAGGATACTTCTCGCTGGAAGTTTGAAGCCAGGATGGTAAGGATACTTCGCTGGCAGTTTTAAGCGAGAGGTGTGAGGATATTTCGCTGGCAGTTTGAAGCGAGGGTGAAGTCAGGGGGTTAGGAGATTCGCTTGCAGTTTTAGCCCAGGGGCGCGAGGCTATGTTTCTGGCAATTTTTAGCCAGGGGGCGTGGGGATACTTCACTGGCAGTGTGAAGCCAGGGCGGTGAGGATATTTCGTTAGCAGTTTTAGGCCAGGGGGATGAGGAATATTTCGCTGGAAGTTGTTAGCCAAGGTTGTGAGGAGATGTAGGTGGCGGTTTAAGTGAGGGCGCCATGGGGACTTCGCTGGGAGATCTGAGCGAGGTGTGTGAGGATTGCGCTGGCAGATTAAAGTCAGGACGGTGAGGAGAGTTTGCTGCCAGTTTTAAGTGAAGGGTGAGAGGATATTTCGCTGGCAGCTTTGAGCGAGGGCGGTGCGGATTTGTCGCTGTCAGCCTTGAGCGAAGGGTGTGAGGATAATTCGCTGGCAGTTTTAAGCGAGGGCTGTGGGGATACTTTGCCGACAGGTTTAGGCCCGGGGCGTGGCAGTATGTCGCTGGCAGTTCTAAGCGAGAGCGGTGAGGATTCTTCGCTAGCAATTTTAAGCCAGGGGGCTGAGGGTATGTTACTGACAGTTCAAGCCAGGGGCGTGAGGATATTGCGCTGGCAGTTTTAACTCATGTCGATGAGGATATTTCGCTGGCAGTTTTGAGTGAGAGGGTCCTGCCCTGCCCAACCGAAGGCTACGCATCCAGCGCGTTGCTGCGCCCGTATATATGCTCGCCCCTTTGCGTCGGGCTGGCGGGGGGCCAAGGGGCGAGCTGTCCGTTGTTTCTGTTTGTGATCCCAAGTCACGCTGGCTTTGTTAGGCTCGTTTGGAAATGCAGCCCAGTCGTCGAGACCAGAGCAGTGCACGGGCAGCAAGAAGCTTCACGTCCCAGCCGCAAGCTGGTGCTGGCACCCGGAGAAGGGGGGGGGGCGTATTGCAGCACTGGTGACGCATGCCAGCGAGACCCTTGGACCCCAGTCGGCTCAAACAGCGGAAGCATCCTGAACCCGAGAAGCGAGTGATGCGCGGTCGTCCTCCCCCCTTGTTCTTTCTAACCTCCTGCTGGGCAAGGTGGCCACTGAATATCTCTACGTCGCACCCCGCAGATGCGGATAAGAGTGAGGGGGCGGTGGGGACGTCGGCAGTTTGCGAGACTCTGGAGAAGCCAGCCGCAGGCGCCGAAGTTTCACACATGATGCAACGAGCCCGCCGCAGGCGCCGATTTGCTTCGTTAAACCAATGTGGGTAGGTCGCGGGTGGGTCGCGGGTGGGTCGCGGGATGCGTCGCGCGTGTGTCGCAGGTTGGGTCGCGGGGTGGGTCGCGGTTGGGTCGTAAAAAGGTCGCGGGTGGGTCGCGGGTGGATCGCGGGTGGGTCGCGGGGTGGGTCGCGGGTGGGTCGCGGGGTGGGTCGCGGGGTGGGTCGCGGGTGGGTCGCGGGATGGTCGCGGGATGGGTCATGGGTGTGTCGCAGGTTGGGACGCGGGTTGGGTCGCGGGGTGGGTCGCGGGGTTGGGACGCGGGTTGGGTCGCGGGGTGGGTCGCGGGTTGGGTCGCGGGGTGGGTCACGGGTGGGTCACAAACAACAACAGCAACAACAACACCACCACCACCACCACCACCACCAACAACAACCAACAACCAACAACCAACAACCAACAACCACAACCACAACAACAACAACAACAACAACAACAACAACAACAACTACAACAACAACAACAACAACAACATTGACAATAACAACAAAAGCAACAACAACATCAAAAACAATAACAACAACGCAACAAGCATAATCCTCACCACGGATCCCCACTTCAGCCACGCACCCAAGGACAATGAATGACCGTTTGGCCCCCTCACTCTGATCCAGCTGTCTCTCTCGCTCTCTCTCTCTCTCTTCCCCTCTCTCTCGCTCTCTGTCTCTCTCCCCCTGTCTATGTGTATATGTATGTCGTCCGGTATATATCTAGATAGGTATGTGAGTTGAGTTTAGATCAGTATGTATGCTTCTCTTGGTATCCCTCTGTCTCCCCTGTCGCTCTCTCTCTCTCTCGCTGCTTTTTTTTTTTTCTCTCTCTCTCTCTCTCTTTCTCTCTCTCTCTCTCTCTCTCCCTCTCTCTCTCTCCCTCTCCCTCTGTCTCTTTCAATGTCGGTCTCTCCCTCTCTCTCTCTGTCTAGTTCCCTCTCTCTCCCTCTCTCTGTTTCTCTCTTTCTCTCTCTCTCTCTCGCTCTCTCTCTCTCTCTCTCTGTCCCGCTCTCTCTCTCTCTCTCTCGCTCTCCCTCTCCAAATCTCGATCTCGATCTGTCGCTCTCTCTCTCTCTCGCTCTGTGTCGTTGGCTCTCTCTCCCTCTCTCTCTCTCTCTCTCTCTCTCTTCCAACCTCCCCCCTCCCTCCATACCTCTCTACATAGAAATATGTCTCGTTCCCGCCGCTCTATCCCTCGCTCTCTTTATATCTCCTTCTGTCTTTCTCTCTCTCTCTCTCGTTCTTCCCGCCTGCCTTACTGCCTTATCGCGTCATGTACTGCGCCCGTTACCAACATACTCCACATATCGTTACTGCGCCCAGTGCCTCAGTACTCCACAAATCGTTATCCGCCTCCCTCTCATTCTCTCTCTCTCTCTCTCTCCCTCCCACTCTCTCTCTCTCTCTCTCTCTACGTATGTAGATAGAGAAGTGTTTCTCTCGAATTTCTTTTCACGGTATGTATATATCACTATATCCATATGTACAGCTGTCTCTTTTTTTTTTCTCTCTCTCTCTCTCTTTCTCGCTCTCCCCTCCTTCCCTTCTGGTGTGGTAACCGCCACCGTTCCCCCCCCTGGCACCTTGAGGCGTGGCAGAATGTCACGTGATGTCGGGTAGAATTTCTGAAATCTTCTCATGGCCTCCACCCCCTCGGCCCACGGACTTCCACGTGTATCGCTCCCCGCCCCCCCCGCCCCCTCTGGAGGCGGCCACGACCCTGAGTGAATAAAACGCAACTGGATCCGCGCTCGTTAAGCCACGACCTGCGCCCCCAAAGGCAGCGACCCCGGGCAAACAGCTCTGGGTCAACGCCCCCGAGCTTCCAAGTCGGCCCAGGCAAGAAACAACGGCCACCAGTATACCTAGGGGGGCACATGCGAACCCTACCCCTACCCCCCACGACTTCTGCGGGGGAGGGTGGGGTTCACTACACTCGGGAGCTCTCGAGCGAAGTGAACCCCACCCTCCCCCTCAGAAGTCGTGGGGGGTAGGGGTAGGGTTCGCATGTGGCCCCCTGTATACCCCAAGATGCCTCCAAAACGACCCGAGACGGGCCCGACACGGCCAAAGATGGCCCCAAGACGACGGCCCACGAGGCCCCCAGAACGGCCCACGAGGGCCACCAGAAGTACCTCCGGGAGGGCTCAAAGGAGCCAAATCATTGTACATTGCGTGTTCTGCCAATCTCGAATACATGTAATTTACTAGGGATTCTAGTT